TTTTAAACTGTAATTTAATTTTACTGTCCATATTAACTTTATCACATGTATCCGAGTAGGAAAGCTTTCTAGAACACCTGCGTCAGCACCTGCTAGTGACAGAAGCAACTCTGAGACAATGGTGGCACTGGAAGATTCTTCTAAGACTTTTATGGTAGTAAGTCCTGCATCTTGATTTGATTTTTAAGGGGGGAGGGAAAACCCAAACTAAAACAATAATTACTTGTACTTAAATGAATATCTGGAAGGTGACTGGTGAAGCTGTTGACTCAATTGCTATGCTCTTTAACTGCCCTTTTATTGTTGTATCAGAAAATGGCTATGTAGTAGTCAGTGCAGAATGTTCTACCTGTGACTAGTAGTTGCAACATTCTTTGGCTGAGGAAACAAAATAATTATCTCTTGCTCCCTTGAATTTTGCAAAATGTTTTACTTTTTTTTTGGGGGGGGGGGGGGGTAGAGGGAGGTTAAAAAAAAAGGGAAACCGTGCAAGAATCTTGTAAATGGTTGGATTAATTCTTATATTAAGAATGTAAGGTAGCATTCAGGTGTGGTGAAACTTTGTGAACTATTTCATACCTTGATAGGGATGACTTAACACAGTTGAGCGCCATGCTACAACACAACACTGAATTTCACTTTCATCCAGCATGCAGCTGACTACAGACAACCAATTATTGCCAAGTCTCAGTCTGTCTTACCACCTGAATCACACCTAGGAGTTACAAAAAACACAGATTGTGTTTATGCCTTCCTATACTTGTCTTTCTCCCCTGATGCACCTCGTTTCCTAAAATACCCGTCAGCCTAGGAAAAAAATAAAAAGACAAATCTTGACTTGAGTTTATGCTTAAATTATTGTCATTTCAGGACACCTCTCCTCATGAAGCTCATGTACCACTACCATCTGGACCTGCGTCTACAGACAGTGAAGAGATACAGAGAGAAACTGCTTATCCTGATGGAAAGGTAAAATAAGAGCTTGGCACTCTAATAAAATTCCACAAGACATATGTTGTGAAAGAGGAGTAAGTGTATGAGTGTGATGTTTCAATATTGACCTTGAATAATGTATTCATTAGGTTGAAAAGATTTTGAAAAACGGCTGTCACCTCATATTTTTCCCTAATGGGACATGGAAAAAAGTGGGTTCTGATGGGAAGACCATAACTATAACCTTCTTCAATGGGGATGTGAAGCAGATTATGCCTGATCAAACAGTGGTATGTACCCTGCATCTTCTGCACTGTTCTATAAATACTTATTTATGCACACATGTGTACACACACACACAAATTTTCTCACTAGTTATGTTAAATCTGACCTGTTTTCTGCAGATTTATTATTATGCTGATGCTAAGACTACACATACTACATACTCTGATGGCTTAGAGGTCTTGCAATTTTCAAATGGACAAATAGGTAAAGAAATCATCCAAAACAACCGTCAAAATTACTGCCCTTTTTTATACCTGCATTTATGTAATAAGCATATTGTCTCAAAATACATTTCAGAGAAGCATTATCCTGATGGCAAGAAAGAAATTACCTTCCCTGATCAAACTATTAAAAATTTATTTACGGATGGGCAAGAAGAAAGTATCTTTCCAGATGGTACTATTGTTCGTATTCAGCGGTAAGCTTTACCTTTTCAGGCACTGGAGGCTGTGGATGGGAAAGTAGCAGTTAGGGCTCACTGACAGAGGCAGTATATGGTGACAGATCTATTTCTGGAAGTTCACATTTGAATGTACTGTACTGTGAACGTATATTTAATGTGTGATTATTTTTTTTTTTGGTAGCTTGGAGGAGACATAAAGACTGCATGCCTGTGTGTATTTTCTCATACCCTAACCTGAGAAACTTTTCATGCATAAATGGCATAATTCTAGAGAGAACATGAGAACCTAGCTGGTGTGGCAAGCAGGTCTGACTGATAACTGATAGTGCTCAAAACATTAAGTTTTAAACCTTTCTTGGACTGTTGCAGCAATAGATTTAGTGCAGAGAAAGACGGTCTCTATAAAAAAGTCATGTTAGTTTTGCAGAAACAGGTTTCCAAGTACCAGCCAGCTGGGATGATGTTTAACAAACCAGGCTTTTCACAGTGTATTTTTTTTTTAGAGTTCTTTCATTTGGGCTTGCAGACTATGTTTATTCTGAGACTAAGCGTAAAGCCTATGGCTACTCCTTATGTTGTTTGTTGTTTTTTTTTTTTTTTAAAATACTTGCATACATTTATTTAATGCAGAGATGGAAGCAAAACTATAGAGTTCAATAATGGCCAGAGAGAACTACACACATCACAGTTCAAGAGACGCGAGTATCCAGATGGTACTGTCAAGACTGTGTACATGAATGGGCAGCAGGAAACAAAGTATGTCTCTGGGAGAGTAAGGGTAAAGGACAAGGATGGTAACATTATCATGGACACCAAGGTGTAGGTAATGTCAGAACTGTTGGAAGTGTTAGCACATCAGCAAAAATAATGTACATTCCTGTAAACAAGAAGTGAAACCCCCTTAAGCTTGTTGTGTATATATGGCTTATAGTTTTTCTGAAATAAATTTATTTTTCAGTGGATGTTACTTCATCTGAGCTTCCTCTAATTTTTTTCCATTTCTACAGTGTTGTCATGTGTGGTTTAAAGGGTGTTTTTTAAATCAGCTGTCAGTGGAAATTCATCAGACAGCTGTAGATTACTTTATTTTAGACACCTAAGAGAAGATTCCTCAATCCAAGGTAAAAAGCGCTGTTAGAACCCCTGCTCTGGTGAAATATAGCAGATGCCCAGATTTAAGAGTCTGGGTATCAGTTTACTTCTTGCTTGACTTAAAAGCGTAAATGAATGGCAGCATTCCTTTTCAGTTAGCCTTAGGTTATTCTTGTGTCTTCATAATCTTATTTTTCTTCATCTCACAGTTTGGAAGCAACAGCATTAGCAGACCCCAAACTCTGTGCTGTAAACTGCTCATTCATATTCATAAGGCTAGGACAGGTTCCTCAGGCATGTGGGAGGCAACACTAGAAATCAACAAAAGTAATCTCATCCAATTCTTCCACTTAAGAGGCATTTTTAAGCTGACTTGTCTTTTAAAATTCTGTAGTATCTACAAGTAAAGTGGTACTACTAAAGTGTCTGCTCTAACTCTCCATTCTCACAGATGCTGCAAAATTTGTTTTATTCTCATGCACAGTAGAAGATATTTTCTTCCCCTTGTAACCCCCAGCCCCCCCACTGCCTTCTCAGTGAAAACAAGCTCTGCAGTTACTGTGCCTGTGCCCTTTTTTACTTGAGGGGTAAATTGACTTGCACTAGAAGAAACTATGCTCACTCACCACTAGAAGTTGCTTGGTTGGGTGGATAGGCAGGTCCTGCCTATCTTAAACAGCAGGTCTTATGTAATCTGGGGGTTAATCCCTTTCAAGATGGTTGATAAACAACTTTTATAAAAATTAAGGAAGGAAACATATCTTGAAGATGAGCACATGACAGCTTTATAGGGTATTTGCACATCCCATTAATACCACAATATGTACTAAAACTGTGAAAGGATTCTTCCACTGCTAGTATGAACAGGCAACCTACCCTTCCAGCATGCCTGAGCAATACTACTGAGAAGTTTTGTACACTTGCTTTCACGTGATCTTGAAGGAAGAGACATGCATAAGGGGACATGTGTATATGCACAACCATGGGAACAAACTGAAAGACAGGAGGTTCCCTCTGAATATCAAGAAAACTTTTTTACTGTGATGGTGAGTGAGCACTAGAACTGGCTGCCCAGAGCAGTTCTGGAGTCTTCACCACATATTTTTTTTCCTTAATCATCTAGACAAAATTCTCCATGGGGAGACAGAAAGGGGCGGAGCTTTAAATGTGAAGGATGTACTACACTAGTATAATAAAGAGACATCCAAAGAAACCTTACATACTATAGCAATAAATGAAAACAAGTTCCTGTTTATTCCAACACTTTGAAACGAACAGTGCAGCTCCAGGAGTAGGAAGGAGGTGCAAGGACATCCAAAACACATCCATCTCATCATGACTGAAAACAGGAAACACAGTAGCAATGCAAATGTGTTCCAGAACAAAGATAGTAACACTCCCCCACCCCCAACTGTTCACTCCCCATTCCAGACTCTGGTACTGAAGAAGTCTGTCATCAAATATGCCTGAAACATAAACAAGAGTCTCATCACAGTAATAAAACTATCATCTTCCCTCCCAGTCTTCTAACAACATACTAGAACAGCTTTTTATCTATTTCTGTACTACTACACATTAATTCTATTTACTCTTATGAAAAGGATATCACAGAACAATACTTCAGGCTCTAAGGTCAAAAGAGATTGAGATTTGAGCATGTAGTTTCACTAGATTCAAGTGTTGGCAACATTATCCGTACACATAGATTAGAACTTACTAAATGGGAGAGAAAGGGACTACTTAATACAGAGCTGACCAAGAAATGTGAAAATCCAGGTCTCCAGTATTCTCGGTAGACAACACATACTGTAAGGCTTTTTGTTTAAAATAGTCCACGTGTGACTAGTTGTATGGATATCCAGATGTTATCACAGATCTGTCTGAGAACCACTGGCACTGGACATTGAGATTGAATGCTGAAAATAAAGAAAAACAATTAATTTTGATTGGGCAGAGTACACTGCCACACATCTGCAAGTTACCTTCTTCAGTTACTAGCAGCAAAAGCTCTTTCTCTTATACTGCCTTAGGGCTCTTTGTTTCAGTACCTGTTAGTTCCTAAAGCTATATACGCTGTGCACTTCAGTAATGTGTACATAAAGAAATTCAAATTTTTAAGCAGCATTTTATTTTATTGAAAGAGTAGAAGTATGGACAGAAGGGATTTTTTTTAAAAAATGAACTCTAGTTGTCAGCATTACTGACAGTTAAGACTTTGCTTAAAACTTTTGAAATCATACCTTCACAATGGTATGAATTCATACTTCATATTCACTGTACTTACAGGCTACTCATCCAAATCTGCAAGGCCCATTTCTATCAGTTTCATATGAACTAGATTTTCTTCATCTTCATACAAAGAAATGGTGACTTCCGGTGAAAGAGCCTGAAAACCAGAAGTTGACAGTTTTGACAGGAACAGATTTAAGTCTCAAGCTAACCAACAGCATAAGTTATTTCACTTCCTATACTCACTGCCTAAATGGAACTGTGAATATACAAAGAACATTTCTGTTTTTAAGTAAAGGAAACTGGTTTTAAAATAACAGGAATGCTCAGAAACTTTTTGCTTGCAGGATTAAGAGCACCACATAATTTTCTCTTTTCATCAGCATTCCTTCATGGTAAATAGTTAGAAAATACTCAGAAATTATACTCTGAGTTCTAGTAAGAATTTTAGGCTCTGTGAAAACTAGGAGAAAAGAAGGAAGTGTTTCTCACAAGTATGGAAGCAGAGAGCTGTTTTCCTTCAACGCATTCCATCATAGCCCATAACGCTTCCACACTCCATTCTGGGGAATAAGGAATTCTTTCTACATTTTTGTCATATAAAGCAGGTTTAAATCCAGCCAACAGAGCTCGTACTGCCTGAACAGGGTACTTCAGCAGATGATAAGGTATGTGACGCAACCTGAAACAAAAATGAAGTGTTTGCCTGCAATAATCCACCTGTCAAGCAAAACTGTCAGTATGGACATAAGGATAGCTTAATAGTTTATGCAGCAGATTTACAGTACAGAAACTGGGATCAGAGTCCCTGCTCTACTACATTGTGGTGTCAGACTGAACAATTCATCAGGTAAGTCCTTCTAAAGGACCACAGCACAGTAACTATCAAGAAGCGGAACAGTATCATACAGACTCCTCCAAGCACACTGGCTCCCCATTACAGTGCTTGGGGAGTCTCAAGGGCCTAATACAAATTTGAGCACTGGAATGCAAGCACAAGTCATCACAATGCGGGATCCAAATCTGGTGCATCTGGAAAATGACATAGACCTTTGTGGTCCTAAGTGCTTCACACCTGGATGTGCTCTAGACACACTACTAGAAACAGGCACCTTGGTTTTATATGATCATCTCCCCATTCTTCTACCTTTCTATCCCAGAAGCAAGGAATGGGGAAACAGAGCAGGAAGTGCCACCCTGAAGTAAAACACACTCTCTCTCGTGACCCTCATAGTCTGTGAAGCAGGGAATCTGGTCAAATCCCTATTTTGCGTCATCTTCAGCAAGGACATGTAGATCCGCCAATGAGCTCAAGAGCAAATCAGTGTGATTAAGCAGTGTGTGTATATATATATAAAGTTGAAGTGCTTCAAGAGAGAAAATTCAGACAAGCTTAGGGGGCACTAAAAGCCTGGGGTGTTTGAGACCCTGAGCTGACATCTGTGTGCCAGCACAGGAGCAGTTTCTAGAGCGGCTCAGCACCAGGCAGAACAGGGCTTTGAACTTCCAATTCCCACACAAGCCACACGGGGTGCATCCCACTCAGGTACTCCCTCATCTTATTCCCCAGCTGTCTTCTCTGCAGATTCCAGTCACACAGGATCAGAGGATTTGTTTGTACACCTGAAGGGCTCAGTCCCTATTTTTGTAAGCTTCTTGGGTGCAAAAGCAGATTATAAACCTGAGCCTACTTCACAGGTTAAGTAACCTGAAGATGATGGAGAAATCTGGTAGTATAATGATGGGCTTCTCAGGGCAACCTGAGAGAGGTCGGTGCACAACCCCATACCCTGCAGACAGAATTTATTTAACCAGCAAACCAACTTTCTCTCCAATTGAAATCTAATGCTAAATTATTATGTACGTATACAGTTACATAAAAATACATATGTTATAAAATATGTACTTATACACAAGTGTAAGTTATACATACATAGACATTTTACATGCATTTCTTTCTTATGTATTTACCTGTCTGTTGGGACAACTGAAAAACTACCATAGTCAACAAACTGAACCAGGATCTTTGGAGGGTCAAACTCTTCAATGGAGAGGAGCTTTGCTCTATACCATATACCATCCTGGTATTCTACAAGGCAAGGCATTTCTGTAAAAAGAAAAAAAACCAAACCACTGAACACCCCAAAATATACTCACAGTGCAGCACAAACTAACTGAACTTGAAAATCCATTTTACTTTGTGAATGAGAATTCATACTACTGTTTTGTTCTCTGCATCCTCCAGTTCTATCTGAATGCCAATTCACAATCATTAGTACGCAATTTAAATCAAGCTTCTCTACCTCACGTGGCAATGATAAGAAGTAACAGAAAATTTCGTGGTAAAGGCAGTGATCCAAACTGTTTAACACTTAAACTTTTCAATTTCAGCTCATTTGCACATTTCAGTTAAGTAAACAGATTGATCTGTAAGATAACAGACAATAGTCCAGAGGACACAAAGCAGATGCTGCCTAAAATCTCAACCAGAATTTTACTAGTTGGTAGAACCAAAAACTAGCAATAACTGATTTCTTTGCAACGTTTTAGACCCACATACTTTATGTTATTTTAGGCCAAACAGCTGTGGACAAGAGAATTAAAGCCCATCTTTTGCCTAAGCAGAGAAATCCAGAATAAAGTGAAATGATGCTCTTCAGGGTTCACGTAACTTCTAACTCTTGGTAACATGATTTTCTGTACATAACTTGGGTCTTTTCAGTATGTAGTACCAAGATTTTCAGAGCTACAACTTCCTTGACAGTCACCTTAAGGGAAAATCCTTAGTTATGCAATCTAAGCTCAGTTCATCAGCTTTAACAGCCATCAGAAGTCCGAGTTCTTTCCATCATTTTCCAGTGGAGCAGAAATGACACAGAGGTCTCAATTTCACGAAAAGCAAAAGCATATGACTATAGAATAGAGGAATCATTTAGACTGGAAAAGACCTTTAAGGTCATTGAATCCAACCATCAACCTAACACTGCCAATTCCCCCACTAAACTATGTCCTTAAGCACCACATCTACACATCTTTTAAATCCCTCCAGGGATGGTGATTCCAGCCCTTCCCTGGGCAGCCTGTTCCAATTCTTGACAACCCTTTTGGTGAAAAAATTTTTCCTACTATCCAATCTAAACCTCCGCTGGTGCAACTTGAGGCCATTTCCTTATCACTTGTTACCTGGGAGAAGAGATCTACCCCCACCTCACTACAACCTCCTTTCAGGTAAGTGTAGAGAGTGATAAGACAAGGTCTCCCCTCAGCATATATATATATTTTTTTTTAAACACTTCTGATTATAGTGTAGTGGTACTCCTTACTTTCCAAAAGTTTTATTGAAAAATACATGGAAATACAGTTATTCCTATTCTTCAGAATAGAATTTCAGGCTTTTTGTACATCCACATGAAACAACTGGGAAAATAAACACACTAATATACCTGTTCGGAAGTGTGTAAGAAGAGGAAGACACTCCACACTTTTATTGCACCATTTCAGGGCTTCATCAAGGCTCACCAACTCCGAGTCACAGCTGGCATCTCCCTTTGTGGTAGACTGCTTCATAAGGTTCTTAGAAGAATCAAAGCAAATATATACCTATGCAAAGAAAAGGCTCTCATATTACAATTTTGGCAGACTACTTAGAACCTTCAAATTACATCAGTGATAAAGGATTATTAGATTACTCGTTCCCATCTTCAAAAGGTTCAGCACATCCTTGCTCCCCTTTCTTCTTTCCTCAATTTATGAATAATTTCAGATTTACACAATTTTTTTTCCAAAAGCAGTAGAGAGTAATGATTTATTAACACCACATTTCAATGTTAAAAAGTTAGAATAAGAGGAATGCACATACTACAGAATATACCCATATAAGATTTCACAGCTGTGTCTTATTAGTATTCCTCCCTCCTGCTACTTGGTACATAATCTCACTTCATAATATCAAACCAAAGATTAATTTTAAAATTAATGAAAGAAGAACTTTTGAATGCTGTTTTGTTTGCTATGCAGACATTCCATTTACCTAATTTATAACTGGGTCATCAGTATCATGCCGTAGGTCAAGGAAATTAAAGTTTAAACGATATGCATAGGCAAATTAAAATCTACGTAACAGCTTTTAACTGAAAGGATTTATTTTTCTTTTTTAATGTAGTCATTTCAGAACTTGACGATATTTTACTGATAGTCCAAACAAATTAATGAGTAGGCAATTATTTTTTTCTAAACTCAGAATTGTAATTAACTAGCCAGGAAAAAAAATTAATGTTCATTTTCTAACTTGTACACAATATAATCAAGCCGTAATGCCATCATGCAACTGCTACTTAAACTTCTAGGAGTTCAGAACAGGCCTAGTATTTACAATTATGTACCATGTTTAAAAGCTAGAGTTCAAATCATTGCACAAAATGAACAAAAAAATATTCATTATAATGTTTCTCCTGTAAGAGAGGAAGCAGAATACACAATTTAAGAAAAGCCTTTTCTAGCATACCCAAACATTTCCGTCTTGTATTTAGTCAAAACAGTTGTGTAGGTACACTATACATGGCGTTTTTGGGGGGGGGAGAATTACTGGGCTGAGTTTATATTAGACCATGATGCTGAATTTAAAGCAGTCACTTCAGTACTGTAAAATGTGTTATTTGGTTTACAGATTTACCAAAACAATTAACACAAGCACTTCAGTATAAATCACTTAGATGATGTTAGATTTAGTAACACAATCAGCTTTTCACTGCTTCCTGTTCTCCATCATTCAACATTCAAAGTCCACACAGGAATCTTTTATTTCATCAATGAACATTACATTCCACCTTTTCCCTGGGAGACTACTAGAGGGAAGCTGTGTGGGTTTACACAAAAATCAATGACCAATCAGTGACCAAAGGCAGTAAAATACAACTGTAACAGCCAGAAAATGTTCACATTCATGTACAAAGTTCCAGTAATTTAATTTTTGGAAAATAAAGAAGAGATAAATCATCATTGTTCTGCCAAGTTAAAATCCCATGATCCATTTTCTTATTATACCGGGTGAGTAAGTACCAAACTACAGTACTGCAATTCTCAGAGATCATTTTTTTTAGGGAAATGGTCAGTACTTATTTCTCTGCCCCAACCCAAGAGGGTATTTCAAGTAAGATTTCATTCAGATGCACTGCACAACTATCTGTATCAATAACTCTAGCATTTTGCAATCTTACTAATACTTTTTTTATATTATCTAAAATTGTTAGCCATGATTTCCTTTTCACCAGCATGATGGGACTGCAACATTTCCTGTCTGCAACATACATGAGATGTTTACGAAACATACCTCCTTAGGGGACACCAAATGCGTAACTCTGACAGGAAAGGTATCTCCTGGAATTGGTAGTGGTGGCAATGTGTACGAAGGCAAAACAGGAATGTCTCTTTCGAGTAGCTCCTAGACCAAGACAGAATTTAGTCAACAGTCATATTGGTAACAAAATGCAAACTAGCTTTGTTATGATTGCTGGTTCAAAGGAGTTATCTAATAATGTAAACAGTGTGCCCTTGATGAAAAAATAGTAAGCAATATTGCCTTTCAATACTTATTAGTGTTTTAAAAAAGCTTTTAGCTAAAATTAACACAACAGAACTAGTTAACTAACTTTTAAAATATAAAGAATACATCTTTGGAATGATCTTAACATACTGACCTGCTAACTTGATTGCTGTTAATTAAAAAACACATTAAATACGGAATTCCCTTTAAAGAGAGAAAATCTTTAGAAAGAAAAAACAATATAGTAGCAGTTAATTGGCACAGATTAACCTGAATGCCATGCCCCATGACACTGCAGTTTGCCAGAGCAAGCTATCCCTTAAGAGAAAGGGAAAGGATAATTTAACTCCTTAGCCACCAGAATTATCACTCCTTCAAGAAGATAACAGATTTTGCCCAGTACAGATACTTATTGTCTCAGTAGCATAGCAAGCGCCAGTGTGTCTTATTTTAGAACCACATAATTTACCATTTGAGTTCTACATGCCATTAACTCCTTTGGTTCATGACAAAATAAAGCTTGGTGCATTACATTATGCCTTTGTAAGGATGTATAGCACATAGCTCAGCTGGATTATAGGTTGTGACTTTAATATGATACATAACAAAATGTTCAATTTGTCTAAAATACATTTTATTTTTACACATCTACTTGATGAACAGTTTTCATTATGCCCAGAAGAAAAAGAGAAGTGGAAGCAACCAAATATATATAACCACAAAATAAAACAATACATTCTGACACTTTTCTTCCCCCTGCATGATCTGACATAGGATACAATACAAAAACCTATTACGTTACCCAGACTTAAGTAGGAAAAAACAGCTTTTTCATTGAAATTATGTATTCCTAAGATTTTAAAAAAAATAATCTATTTTGATAAGTGCCATTAAAGAAAGACTGTCTAACGGTATCATAGATATATACAATCTAAATACCACATTTCTGCAAATCAATCTGGAACATTGTGACAGACCACCTGACTACACCTGGTTTTGAAGATTCAGCTTAAATTCCAGCTCATTCCCAACCGAGCACTGCTTGTAGCTCAGATGGGTATCTTCGTCAGCTCATGTGTGTCTTTGAAAGAAAAAACTGCATTCACATTTTTGTTGTTAATGTCAACAGTCTTTTCTTATTGTCAGTAGATCGGTTACTGCTAGATGTATCACACTTAGGAACAGACAGTCCAGTTGTCAATACCGATACTAAAAAGATGTTCTACCAAAACATCTTTAGGTGTTACCTATTTCTGCTTTTGTGTCCGTTCTTTAAAAATCTAAAAATATGTTACACTCCTTATTACATCTAGAAGGCCACAGCAGACATTATGTATTTTTAATATATAATTTACACATCATGTAATACCATATACTTAATAAGGCAACACAAGAGCGCTTTTCAGCATGACGAATTTAATCCAAACTAAGTAAATGGTAGGCTGCTGTGCAGTGTGTTATGTTGTACCTCCTTCGCTACCACAAGCAACAGTTTGTGTATGAACAGCCTACATGAGCCCACCCAGTAGCGTGAGGCATTAAAGACATACTTAGGATGATAAAGACTGAAGTGATAGTCTGTCAAGTCTCACATTCTGTATTTCCCTGATATGGACACAGTATCTCAGACTTCATTCTCATATTGACAAAAGGAAAGCAGAAAGGTCTGTCTATCTACGTGTTTGCAGAATGCTTTTCCACTGGTCTTGTTGCAAACATCAGTGACAGCAGGTCTTCCTGGTGTCAGACAGTAAGACTTATGACCAACACACCCACATGGCTGGCCTTCAACATATGCCCATAGTCATTTGACACCCCCATCCTTCATCCACGCTTGTCCTGATAAATTCTTAACAAGGAAACAATTTGGGAAGCTGATATGCAGTGCTATACAGAAACAGTCTGTAAAAGGAATTTTTGATTGATTTTGGTTCAGATGGTTAGAAATGGTTTGCAGTCAACTGCTGTAGAAAAAGTAATTCTAAAAATTATTTTCAGTTAAGCCTGAGCTCAGAATGAAGAGATTAAAGACTCGTCTGTCAAATGAAGCAGGGTCACAGCCCCCCCATGCCTGAATACATGAGCAGAAGGCAGCACCTGGCTACTCAGTTCTAACTCACAGTAGCAGTGAAACCAGCAAAATGAACCAAACAAAAAACCTCAGTCAAAAATACCACAGTATTTACGTATACAAGACCATTATAAGTATGCAAGTGTGTTCATGTGTATACACACAAACACACATATATGCACACACACTCTTAGAATGAGATTCACTGCTGTAAGCTCACCACGCTTGGGGTTCTGGTGCACCGTCCAACATCCTACTCCCTACTAGGGAACTTTTGGGCTAATAACTAAACTAGGACTGGCATAATGTAACAAAGACCAGCTCCTAAACTCACCTGCGCAGCTCCACAAAATTGTATCTCAAAGACAGTAATACACTCTGCAGCAAGACACAGCTGTAGTGGATGCTGCGTAAGCAGCTTATCACCACTATTAACAGAATTACAACTCACAGAATACAGTACTTACCAGATTACTTATCTGAAAACACAGTTTTGAAGTAATGGAAGTGCTTCAAAAGTTGAAGCAATGAAAGTTACAAAACTACTACGGTTATACTTTATATAATAATAGTATCCTTTAGTCAATGCAGTATACGAGTTGGCTTGTGAGGATGGCTGCTTAGACTCTACAGCTAAACCCAAAGCTTCGTCATGTTTCAACGTTCTCAGAGCTGCATGCTTCCTACTTCCGCTATTCCAGAGGTTCTGCTGCTGGAACCAGCTTGAGCCCTGGACGCTTTGCTCCTTTTCTGGTGCACAACTGAATGCCTCTGATACTCATTTTCTTACAAATTGTTCTGAACCACTTATTCCTGGAATGTATCTGCCTAATGCTATATTCCTTGCTGAAAGCATTCCAGGGTTTCTGAATGCTTCTTTGCTTACAGCCTTCTTACATAGCTTTATTTTTGTTTTCCAAATTTCATTTTTGTTTTAAGGGTACAATCTCATTTCAAGACCCATATTTAGTGTGCTGGAAGTTGTGTGTCATGTGCCGACTTTATGAAAATGAAACAAGAGACTCATTTACAATTAGGTTTTTCCATGGTTACTCAGTTCTATTATAAACTGAGAGATTTTTGTAATTGCATCACAAGTCCACTGGTATATGTGCCAAGACTTTTATCAGCATTGGCAGCAGCATACTCTGTATTGTAAAATTATTTTCTGAAGCAGAAGCTCATGTTGGAAAGAAAAATACACTGGCAGGCTTAAAGAGAAGTAAAGAGAAAAATGCAACAAAGCCTTAGTAATCTAAATAAACCCAACCCTCAGATTTCAAAAAAAAAAAAAACCACAAAAAAAACAGAGAAATTACTTATCTCATTTTTTTTTGTGTCAAGACAATGAAGTTTGGTGAAAATCTCAATCCTCCTCTAAAGAACACCAGATGGATATCCCAGACACTTGGAATGAAGAACCTAGGTAACTCCCTTAGAAATCACTAGGCTTATGTTGAAATACTTGATTAAATTTACTTTTGAGTATCTCCATCCTTGGATATGTTTCTGACTAACAAATACCTTCCCATGATAAAAATATTACCCTATTCCTATTCTTTTAAGTTTTAGAGGAACACAAAAACTAACTGGACTTTAAACAGAAATGCAGAAATCTCTTTTCAGTAAGGAGTCCAAGAACAAACTCTCAGCAATTCATTATTCCAGACAATCTTAGCAACACATCATATCTACACTTGTTATGCTACACAGCTATGTACTTAGTCTTACTGCTGTTTACACTACAAACTGTACAGAAAGATAGTAAGAATTAACAAATGAAAGGTCACAACAACCAAGTATAATCTTTTCGTGTCAGAATAACAGCAGCAAAACACACACACACACACAAATCTCACCAGTTTTAGTGTGTCCTGACAATCTTCAGCAACACAGTACTTCTTGTATGCCATGAAGGAAGAAAGTGACATTCCACCAAAATACAGGCTGATGGACAATTTGCCCCATGGGTCATCTGGCAATTCCTACTTACACAGGATAAAATAAGATAACAACAGTAATAGCGTGACTGAGGTTTTAGAAATAGCGACCAGGAAATTCAAACCTGCCGTTCCTATATGCACCATACTCATTCATCGAATATATAAAACGAGTAAGGAGGGTTGTTAACTTCAGCTATGACACAAATGTGAATGTATCTATCTCTGGAATGGCAGCATTGACTACCCAGTCTAACACCAAAACATCCCATGTTTGCTTACTCAACAATAAATCCTTCTCTTTCACAATTTATCACTAGAAATAAAACTACCTGAAATTGCACGTTTTCAGACAATACAGATTATGCGTTTCCCTATAATGTTAATGTATAAATTTAAGCGTGTATATACTTAATATGCCAAATTTTTATCACTTAAAGTTAGATTTAGAATAATTTATGCTGTTGGAAGGCAGCTTGTCAGAATGACAACAGAATACAAATAGGACCTAAAAATACCAATACCTCTAAAGAACACATTTAAGGCCTGAAAACGATAATAAAGGAGAAATAACTTTAGCTTTGGATTTTGTTTTGTCTAAGGAATAAATTTACTGCTATACTGCTTCACCTATTATTCTTATGAAAGTTAAAAGAAAAAAAAAAAGAGAACAAAAAAGCAAGCCTCATTGCACATCTATGAATAAATTAAGCTACCTGAACATGTATTTCAACCTCTTCATTTGTAAGCAGTTCTTGAAGGCAATCTACTGCATCCTGCTGCCAAAAATTTCCAATCTACTTGGTGAAAAGCAAGAAACCCCCACACATTAAGATGCTGAAAAATAATACTCTTACTATTCTTAACGTAGTAAGATGAAAATATGCGCCTATCATTGAAAAACTTATTTGAAAACACATATCATTAGCTTGTTTTGTCTATAACAGTTTAAACATTATCTGCTATTTGGTACGCTAAAGCTTACTGTGTGGCAAAGCCAACCAGCAATTTTCAGATCTTGGCGTGGCTCAGAAAGAAATGCTGCTTGCCAAGTCTAACCTTTACTATCTACATAATAATGCATGTGTGCACAGTTACACAAAGCATAACCCAAAGATACAGAATTACACCTGAAGATGAGTTAACAGGCAACAGAAAAAATAGGATACTTTAAATACTGCTTTTATTCCCTGCAGTGTATGTTTGCGTCCCAACCCATAGCCTTATAAACCTGTCTTAATCTATCAGTTGAACTGCTTCCAACAATAAAAAGGTGTTCCTTTAAAATAAGTTTAAAAGTAAACTAGTCACTTCAGTAATTCACATTTAATAAACGCACCATTCAAATTTCAGTAAGATGTGACGATACATGAAGATGTTATTTACATATCAATTACTTACTAAGAAAACCCTTAATACAATTCACTTGCATTAGTTCAGTGGAACAGATTGTTTCCAACACAGCTAAGTTCAGAATGACAGAAACGCTTTTGCAGGACTTCAAGATTTAAAATTTTCTGGACATTTTGCATTAAGAAATCCAGACCCTACTTCTTGTTGCTGCTATTGCAAAACGAACTACTGCTTTAGAGTATCACCCTGCCAACTACTGCAGTGTCCTGTCGCACAAAGATTTAACTCCAACCACAGCTGCTTTTAAAGCATGGTCACTTCATAAAGCTACGTGGCATTTCCCGATAACAGGCTGTCTTGCTGAATCCTTGTAGGCAAGAAAAAATACCAGCAACTAGTCTCAACCTTTGTATGGCTAAACAGTGTACCAATTTGAGTAACTACCTACTAAAACATCTTCAAATTTACCATTACTCACTGGTACTGTCTTGTAGAGCTGACATGGTATGCAAAATGGAGGAATACCAGTATACAATGTAGTTGGATACAGATGACACTGAGGAATCCTTTCTATGCAGCCACGGTCTATGTACTGTACCTATATGAAAAGAAAAACTTTCCTGAAGTATTTCCTGTTTTTTAAGTCAAGTTTAATAAGAGAAAGGGTTCATTTACAGCACTGAATTTTCTGGAGGAAAAAATAATGGTTTGCTGGTAAGTAGGTGATATGACAAAGAGGAAATGAGGGAAAGGACTAAAAACCAGGGATGGTAGATTAAGAGTCCCGTTTCTAAACTGCCTTGCACGAAATCCTACCTTTTGTAATAACTTACAGCCATTTAAAATTGAAAGAAATAAAACATTTGTCAACTAGGATCTTGTCAGACTTACTTGCAAATCTACATTCAAAAAGCTTGAGCAGACTCAAGAGTTTAGAGAAGATTAACTGCTAAGGAGAAAATTTCCAAAGTATTCCACCTATGGTAACAACAATGAAAGAAGAGAAACCTAAAAGGGATTACTTACAGGCCATCAAGGGCAACTTTTTACTTAAGGACATTTATCACCACTAGGAAAACTACGGGAAAAATTGTGACAACTGAAATAGGGAGATAGAATTAATCTTTAAAATAAATGTAAAAATCAGGACAGTTATCACACTTAAGCAGAACGAGCATCTGGATAGTCACGTCAGCTGAACAAGAAAAGGTGTGACCATAAATTAGTATCAGAGGATTAGATTATTTGCCCCTGCCCCCCCCCCCGC